GCCCCTCCCATCGCAATGAGACATTTAATTCGAAAATACAGACGAATCATTCATCGAACTGCTATTCAAAGTGTCCACAAAATAAATAGAGGGAAATGATAATAATTTGTTTATAATTTGAATGAGTGAAAATTTGAAAAAATGAGGAATTACGTCAGTGCGTTAGAATTGTCCCGACAATTACTCCGGAAAGTACAAAAGAGTGAGGTTAAGCCAGTGATTACTTCAGTAAGGAAATGTTCGACAGGTGCAGCATCACCGGAAAATCCGGAGGACCTGGGGAAAAATGTGAGAATTCTCCCGAGTCAGCTGCCATCATCAGCTGATGAGGTGTTCTTGAAGGACCTGGTGAAAGACATGAAGATGCCCCGTGCCTTGGACATGAATGATGAGGATATCTCAGACTTGGGGCCTTATCACAGGCCGTCCTTTAATTTCGCTGCTTACGCCAATAAATCGGAGACAATTCAGGAGCTGGTGAAGCTCGGCGTCGAGCTGTGGAAGATCGAGGGTCAGCCTAGGGCCATGGAGGTCATTCTCTCGAAGACATTCGAGGAGATGAAACCGTACATTCAGTTTCTCCACGACTGTGGTGTACCTGCTGATAAAATTGCTTCATTCATCACGAAGAATCCTCTGATCTTCAAGGAAGACATGGACGACTTGAGGACGAGGATCAGATACCTGAGGGCGCATAATTTCAGTACGGAAGATGTTGCGAGGATCGTTACAGAGGCACCGAAATGGCTGTCCTGGAGAACTGATGAGATTGATAATAAATTAGCATATTTTCAGAGGTAGCTATTTCTACCACGAGATTTCAGTCATTAAAAATTAATTTTCATTTGTTCTCCAGAGAATTTCGACTTCTAGGAAAGGAAGTGAGGGCTTTAGTCATCAGACGACCGAAGTTAATTACCTTTCCACTGAAAATCATCCGAGATAACACGTTCGCTATTAAAGAACAGATGGGATTTGACGAGGATCAGGCCAAAGAAATTCTCCTGAATAAACCAAAAATCTGGGAAAAAGGTGAGTGGAAGGTATTCCAATAATTTTCTCAAATCAGATTTGATAATAATTATCTGTTTGATAAAACGATTGTCTTTTCAGCTCTACCTGCACTCGTAGAATCTTTTAACTATGTGCACGGTGTGATGAATATACCTCACGAAATTATCGCCAAACAACCGAGTGTCATCGCAACTAGAGTTGAGAGATTAAAACAGAGACATTTATTCCTGGCGTTATTAAAACGATGTCAATACGATCCAAAAAAGCCTCTGTATGTGCCCCTGGATGCATTAGCCATGGGCTCTGACATTGAATTCTGCACAAAATGGGGAAAATCCTCGATAGCACTATACGAGATATTCCTGAAGACCTTATAAAAATGAAAGAGACATTAAAAATAAAGTTTTAAAGTTGATAACTCTTTTCCATAATTATCTTATTATATTCATTTTGATTTAATAAAATACAAAGATCAGACTTCGAGGCAATTGAATAATTCTCCTCGGGGATGTGCAATCGACTTTTTTGGCAAAAATTCTGGAATGCCTCTAGCTGAATTTTCCTAATTCTTGTTTTTTCTGGATCGCCCGAACTGAGTGGTACAAGAAAGTGTCAATGAGACCAGCTACTGAGAAGACTCCACCGATGATGGCACAGACATTCGTTGCAAAATGCCCAAAGGATTTTTTCTTCTCAGTATATTTCACCATCAAGGGACTCAACTCGTAGCTGAAAAAAATCCCTGGCATCCCAGATCCACCGCTGATCATAGCAATTTTCCTCGAATGTCTCGTCACAGAGAACTGATTCGTCTGGAGTTGAGCCCCATCAACTCGAAAATACGTCGTAGGAACAATTTTAATATAATATTGATACATCATTGCACCTGAAAATAAGATAAATCATTTCACCTCACAATATTCACAGCTTTTTTTTAATTTAAACTGCTAAAACCCGAATTGACTGCGCAAATAAAAAATTCAAATAAATCGGAGAATGGGAATGGGCGCGTGCGCGATAGGTCGCCCTCCATCACTTTTTACATCTTTAAAAAGCATCATGGCCGCTGGTGGTACCTTCTGAGGGGTTAGAACGCGCATAAATCCCATTCACGAAAATAAATCACGAATTTAGTTCGCAAAAATCGAAAAGGACGAGTCTGACAGATCGTGAGTACTTTAGAACCAATTACCATGGAATTGTAGATTTAGGTCTAGGCCTCGTGAAACAATTTTTATCTGACAGAAAAATAATTCCGCCTGATACACATGCATGTAATTTTTCCAGACTGATTTAAAAATGCCAGCTGTTCCGGGTGGAGTTTATCAGCAAGGACCATCCTGTTGGGACAGGATGAAGATGGGTTTTGGGATAGGTTTCTGCGTGGGGATAGCATCGGGTGCCCTTTTCGGAGGATTTTCGGCGTTGAGGTAGTCCTTCAAATTTCCAGTAATTACTAACACCTAATTTTCATTAATTATCAATGGATTTATCGTTCCAGGTACGGCCTACGGGGTAGAGAATTGATAAATAACGTGGGGAAGACGATGATACAGGGCGGGGGCACCTTCGGAACATTCATGGCCATTGGCACAGGCATCAGGTGCTAGTATCAGCTATATTACGAGATAAAATATTTACCTTGTCTTAGACTGAGGAGCTGTATAATATAATTACTAAATTCACTGTTGAAATATATAATAAAGGACTTAATAAAGTGTAATTAGGTGTTATTAAAGCTACCTTCATCAGCAATAACAGTTGTATTGTCCATGGGATTCGATTTGCCAGGGATATTTACACCGAAACTCAGGTGACGAATTTTGTGGCTCATGTTGAATTGATTCGAGGTGAAGGGTTGAACGTCGTGGACTGGAGAATTATTTCACATGATTTAGTGATGGCACAATTAATTCTTGGGGTAGTAATTCATTTATCTCACCATGAACGTGATTAATTGAGAAACTATCACCAGGGGAAATGTGGAAGCTTCCTCCAACTCTGTTGACTTCCATGGAACCGTAAATTTGGCAACCCTCGAGGAAAGCATTCTTCATCTTCTCAGCAGATTTGTCATTCTGACATTGTTTTATCGTGGATACCTCGGGGAATGCCCATTTTCTTTTTCTGTAAGCTTCTTTCACGTCCTCACATGTATTACAGCATCTAGAAATTAATTTCGAATAGTTCCATAGTCGAGGTAATTTTTTTTCTCAGTCAACCTGTAAAATAGAACTCACTTTATCCCCAACTCTTCACTGGCAGCCCCATAGCAATCGCCGCACTGAGTTTCAGTCGTAGTTTCTAACTGTAAAATCATTTTTATTAGAAATAGATGTTTCAGAATTAATTCCTGGAGACGTAGAGATTAAATTGAGCTACCGACTACCTACCTCGTCACTCTTTGTTACTTTTGTATCAGCAATGTCTAACGAACACAACAAAATGTGAATACAAGTGAACAATTTTCAAATGATAAATAGTCTTGTATTGAAAAAAATAATAAAACCTGTCTTCTTTGGCTCCTCAATTGGCTTTCCTTCCAAATTCAATCGTCTTTTATAAATATTATGCTCTATTTGGAGATGTTGCTCACCAGTGGTATCCATGGCATCTAATGATAACACTAAAATCCAAAAATCAATGAATTATTAAATAAAATAGGATAAATCCTCAGGGATCGCGATCAATACTCACAATCACACGAAATTGTGGGAATAACAACGTCCAAATTAATTCTCAACTTCGAACTTCTTGAAGTGTCAACGAATAATTCTTCATTCAAATTAGGTGTTAAATAATCTCTGAGCTCCGAGAAGAAAAGTAGAGCCATTATTATGGAGCTTATTATCGTGACTGTAAACAGAAAATTGAAACAATTAATTCCATATTGTTATCAATTTTTAAGGTTAACGGCGTCCTGAGGCCCTCCAGGATAAACAAACACTAGGATTTTAACCCTTTCAGATCGAGAATGCCAGAGAGCAGTCACAGGACTTTTATAAAAAATCGGAGTGACTGAATCATTATTTTTAATTGAAAATCAAGGAAGAGCAACAGCCGTCAACTGTCAATGACAACCGGTACTTTATTGCTTTACCCAGTGCTCCACTGAATGTTTTCACTCGGAAATCCTCCAGAGTCTTTGGATAGGCATCGATTTGCCGCAAAACATCTGTTATTGTCGTTTTCATTATTTATTTTGAATATATTTATTAAAAACATGAAAACAATTGGGTTTTCACTGAGACCTATGCAAAGAGGAGAGACTAATAAAGTTGAGGCTGACAGAGTGTGATGTCATCTCATGGCGCTTCAGTCGTTTTTTTCAGACCTGGAGCAGTAAAAATGCCTCCAAAATTATGATTTTTTCAAAATTAATTAGTGATTACCCCTGGCAACTCCAATTAGCTTCAAATCTAAATTAATTTCCTCTTCAATATTCCAAGGATCGAATTTCCCGGGCGATTTCACACGAAGAAAATTAGTCCCTGGTTTAATAATGACACAGGCATCTTTTCAATTAAAATGTCGGTTGTTTAAAAGATTTATTTTTATTAATCTTCAATTTTACAATGATAAGTTTCATTTTTTTTTCTGAGAATAGAAATTTTTACTCAAAACATTTTTTTTGCAGTATTTTCAAGGCATCGTAAATACATGAATTCTGAGAAAAAGGATAATTTATTCCCCTGAACGTCATTTTCTTCCTTTTATCTGTACCACAATGTCTAGGTCAGCCGAGATCACGCATCATTTACATGACGAAGTAAACCTGTAATTTGAAAATGTTATGACTATCTCATAATAATTTTATCAAATTAATTAGAATCCATCAGTCTCGAATGAATTGGTTTAAACGTAATCTTTAGATGAGAATTTTATGGGGAGATGTTGCCTGTTGAATCTTTACTGAAAGAAGTTTTTTTCTCAGTATTTCAGATAATCATTATTCAGAATTGAGTCTTACATCTGGAGCTGTCCTGTAGAAGCATTTGCTGACTTCGTAGACCTGATCACAGACGTCTCCTGGTTTAGTTCCCTCTGAAATCGATATTTCAATCATTAACTCATATCAGGATATCATTTTTCTCTACAAAATAAATCAGATCCGCAGGAATTCATCACTTACTCGTGTCTTTACACGCAGCTACGATTTGTTCTAGTTTTGTCTTGTAAGCTGGTGGTGCTAATTTCGCCAGAGCATCGAAATTCACTCCTTTCCTCGAGACCTGCAGATGAATTTTATGAATTAAAAAATTATTTTCAAGTACATTTTATATAAATTTTATTCATTTTTGCAATTTCTTCATTAAAAAAATTGCAATTATATATTCACGTTGGAGATTTTTGTAATTGTTGTAGGAAGACAGTTAAAAGTCATTGCTAATTCTATTTTTTTTATTAATTAATCATTGATGACTACTTACTGCACCGAATTGGGCGACTGTACATTTCAGGTAGCATTTGAATTTCTGGTCATCAGTAAATTCTCCCTTATTTGCTTTCTCGATCCACTCTGTCGAAAAAACCAAGCCATCACTTTAGAATATCAATCGTTCATTATACTAATTAAAACCAATTAAATCTGAATTATTCTCACCAACTTCAGCCCCAGTTTCCTCGAGACAGACCCTCCGCACCTCAGGTGCAATTTCCCTGAATTCTTCCGGAATTTCCTACAAAAGATCGAGATGATTAAAAAAATAAATCGATATCCCACAATCCTGAAGAATCGTCTCATCTCGTTCCACCAATTATATTATTTATTATAATTTTTATTTAATAATTACTCACTCCAGCGTTGATGGCAGCCACCAGACACACAGTGACAAGAGCATAGACAATATTTTTAATCATTTTTCTTTCGGTAATGAAAAATCGATGAACGTCTCAGGATCAACTCACCGGTACTGACCGACGATTCGCCAAGAACCGCCATTTTATATCCTGAAGATGAATCACATGAAAAAATTAATTACAAATCCTTTTTGATTTAGAGAACATCATTAACGATGGGACAAAAAAATTACGCTAGGTAATTGCTAATTGTAGACATTGAATATCGGGTTCTATACAGATTCCACTGTTTCATTGGTTTTGCTTCTGGTGCGCACAGATTAATCGGTATGATAATTTACCGATATAAAAACCTATTTATCACTGAGATCTGGATTCTGTAAACAATTTTTTATCGAAACAATTCAGTCAGAAGGGGCTATTTAGTATTGAGAATTTAACTGAAGTACATGTCGAGGTAGTTGACAGGGAACGATCACTTAGAAAGAGAGTCTTTTTGGTATTAACATTACTAATTATTCAGGGATGTGTAAAAAGTAGACACTCAATGAACTTGCAGTATCATTATTGTCATTGAGACTTTCTCAGTAATGGACGTCTTTCAGTGACATTTTTTTCAATAACTGTAACGGGAAGAGAAGGAAGAAGAAATGAGAGGAATAATATCAGACGAATTAATGATCGATTTGCGTAAAAAACAAGTAAGTCTAATTATTAATAATAATTAAATAACGTGTATTTTTATCAAAACCAGTTTTTAGCCGATATCTCGTGATTGAGGGGAGATAGGAATATTTTTGTTGATACATTTTTTGGAGATAAAAGTGAGTACTACAAAAAAGGTTATCACAGAAATATCAATATTTTGCTTCGATAAGGAATTATTTGGGGAAAACTCATCTCGAGAATATTTGCACTTTTTGTGGTTGTGCGTTTCGTTGTTAACTTGGATGACAGGGCAATTACAGAAATTAATTAATTGATTACAGGTCAGTCGAGGTCAGCTGAAAGAAATTCTGTCATGCTGCGGTGAAGTTGACATTATGTTCGATGCCACAGGAAAAATTGTTGTTGTTAAATTCCAGAATAAATGTCACGTTATCAGGTAAAAAATATTTATAGTTTGACGATTATTTTTATGGTCAATAAAATCTGCGATGAGTTTCCCAAGGCAATTGTTTAAGGACTGAGTTCAATTCATTGTTCACCATCCTATTGTTTTAAAATTTTATTCATTTTTATTCATGCAACAATTGAAAATTTTGATTGAATGTTTTTGGTGATGATTTTTCGCATTTTTCCAATGCTCTAGGACTCTGACAACCCGTTTAGTTTCTTACAACTTCAATGGCCTATGGAAGAGTCTCTCCCCGAAGTCAGAGATATTGAATGATGACTCACCAATCGAGAACTTACCAGAGGATTGCCTCATAAAAATATTCTCGTTTCTCCCGATTGTAGAAAAATTGTTGATCGAACGAGGTAAGATCAGAGAGTATAATTTATCCAGTAATTATCTCCAGAATGATGAGTCATGACATTCAGTTAGCAGAAAATGGAGAGAAATTGGAGTGCAGGGTTGGCCAGAGATGAAGCACCTGAGGATTCCCTCGGAATTCCGAAAATTCACCCCATCGCAGCTGAGACAAATTTTCACTAGGTCTGGGAGATTTCTGAGAGTCCTGGAGATCCCAGTGATCAATGAAGAAACTAATTGCTTGCCACTGATTAAAAAGCACTGCTTCCAGCTGAATGAACTCTCAGTTCACTTTAATCTGAAAGCATTCCCGAAGCTTCAGGTCTTCTGCGAGGATTTCGCGGGATTATTCATCGCATGTGAGAAATTAACATCTGTTAAAATATCGGGTGTTCATTCGAATTTTGATTTCAATTGTCTGGAGGAACTCGTGAAGGACAAGATCAGAGAACTTCGACTTTATGCTCCGTCTTCTGGTCTTGCAACTCCTCTCTATCTTGTGAGTACATGTTCTTTCGGTTTCGATAAGTTTAATTCTCTTTGTATTATGTAAATTAAATTTGGGTTATCCCTCAGAACCTGCGAGGATTCAATTTCCTCGAAGAACTCGAACTCAAAGGCTTCGTGATAGATGAAGAAGTTCTGATCGGCCTGGAGGAATTGGGAAATTTAACAAGTCTAAGTCTCGTCAACAGCAAAGTACACGTCAGTCACGTAAAGAAAATCAGAGAATTGAGAAAGCTTGAGCATTTGTCATTAGAAAATATCCGCAGCGAAGTTAATGATGAGACCATGGAGGAAATAGCGAGAAGCTGTTCCAATCTCAAATCCTTAAACATAAGCCGTAAATGTTTATTAAAATTCATTGCAGCCTTCCTCTGAGAATCGAACACTAAAAATCCCAAATTTCTAACTGTTTATAGATCTAGACAGATTGACAGATCACTCCTTCGAACAGATATCTCAACTCCGAAGCCTCGAAAAATTAGAGATGATGGGTTTAACGAGAGTGACAAATGATTCAATCTCTGGATTATTCACTCTAAAAGAATTACGCTGTCAAGATTCTCGTGGAATTGGAAACATCGGCTTCATTAGACTCATCAAATGGGCCCAGGATCTCTCCGAATTATGGGTGGATGGAGCTCTGATCACCGAAGATTTCCTGCTCGAGGTCAACGACGCAATGGAGTATCGAACGAGTAAAGTAAAGCTGCACCTGCACTTGCATTCAGACGCTGAGGACTGGGAACAGCCGCGTAATTTATCTCCATTACTGCTGCTGTCTTATACTTGGTAAATTGTATTCTCTAAAAAAAAATAACAACAACAAAAAAACGGGAAATAACTAAAAGAAATCCCGAGGATCAGTTGTCATATATATATTTTTTTTATTGTAAATAATTGATACTGTCGAGTTAATTGGCAATCATATCTGCTCTAGTCTATCCATTTTATTAAATAAAAAGTAACGGTGAAGGCAGGTGTAATCCAATTAATATATTTTCATATACTAATTTATTTCATGTTTATACAACGATCAATGATACAGACACTTGAAGTACTCACGATTTGAACCAAAGAGAATGTAAGAGGATAAGGGGATAGAAGTAAAAAATCAGCTCGGGCTGTCGAGGCTATTTACAAAAACATCTTGATCTTCCAAAAGGAGATGACTATTTGATACCTGTCGGGGACAACTGATTATTTAAAAAAAAAAATTCTTTATCGTTTCAATAACAGCGATCACCTCCAAAAAGATCAAGGATCAAGTTCATTGACGAAGGAAATGATGCACTAGTTCGATACGTAAAAAAAAATCGATTGATATATTAATATTTGTGCTTGTGCCTGTGTTTTCTTGCTGGTGAGGATGGACTGCTGCCCCTGTGTTTCGTATTACTTCTTGGTGGAGGTGGTGGTGACATTGACGGAGATCTAGCCCTTCTCTTGCGATCACTCCTGTCGCTCCTCTCGCTCCTCTCACTCCCAGGGGATCTCCTGGATGATCTCGATGCCGAGAAGACAGGTGATGGAGTGGTGCGAATTCTTGGAGGTGATGGTGTCACTGGAGCTCGTTTCTTGTACGGCGAACGAGACTTTCGTTTAGTCCTCGGTGATCTACTGCGCGATCTGTATTTTTCACGAGATTTTTGGGGTGAATTTGGTGATGCTCTTCTTCTCTCTCTGTAGTGAACGGGAGACTCTGGGGATGTACTTCTACGTCTCTCTCGTCTTCTCTCGTCGTCTCTCTCCTCTATTTTATGATCTTTAGAGTCTCTATCACTCTGCAATGCATATTTACGAATAAGTTTTTTCCTATAATGCTCGACCTGCGCCTGAATGGTCATCCCAGACTTGAGACTCCTTCTGCCACTCTCGAGCTCATCCTGATACTGCATTGTCTTCACCTCGATCTCTCTCAATCTTGTTCGTCTCTCCTCGTTGTAATCCCTGCCCCCTGAGTCCATGCTGGCATCCTGAGAATTGGAATCGTCATTCTGCTCGAGCTCCTCCCACTTACTCGTCGTCATAGCCTGCGCCTCCACCTGATCAGGATCAACAGTTTCCCACCGTGAGGGTACAAATCCAGCTGGCATAACAGGTTTCTTCTCCGTTGATTTGCTCCTGGAGTTGGAGCGATTGTCGTCGTCCATGGGAATGCCATCGATATCATCATCCATGGGAACTCCATCGATATCATCGTAAGTAGTGGGTTGAGGTGTCAGTCCGAGCTTCATAGCACCCTTGAGAAGGGCTGCACCATCGAGAGGTACACCATCAAGATCCTCACTGGGATCACCATCGACGTCTGACAAGGGTGCACCATCAATATCCTCGTCCTCCACCACTTCGGGCTCCTCACTCGTAACAAGACCCAGAAAAGTATTCTGGAGTCTCACCAGGAAATCCCTGGGATACACTGCCCACTCCTCCCAAGCTCTGAACATCCTCATTACTCGTGCCTTGAAGCTCTCAGCCTTGAGTTTACTATCGAATTGTTTGGTTGCCTCATTCACCTCCACAAAGATGTTCACGAGACGAGCCTCAAAGGCCTTCCTGTAGATCGTGGCATTCGTCATCTTCACACCGCAGTTGTGAAGAATATCCGAGATGAGGTAGAGACGTGCTATTTTCTTGCTCGCTGGAGTTGCCACGATGCAGAGAGACTCACCTATGCAATCGCATATTTCCTCTGCTGCTTCTGCATGCTCAATGCAGAACACCATCACTTCAGCCACTTTAAGACGCTCAGGCGAGATGTTACGAAGGAGATCTTCCAGTCTGTCTCTTTGGCTGGACAAATATTTAATCAATTAATTATTTAGATTCAGAGTCTCTTCTATTTGGATTATCTCTAATCAATACCTGTTCGATAAGCTTCCTCTTCTCGGTTCCTGTCTCTCCTCTATCTCAATCAACTCCTCAGGCATCCCCTGGGTCCATGGATTTATCGGGGGTGGCCTCCACACACTTCCACCTTTAAACATTCGAAAATCATCCGTCTGCCACTCCTTTTGCCCATCACCCTGGAGAATCGAGTACAACTTCCAGCGGTAATACGTGTGGGCCGGTGAATAATTCTCGAATAAAAATCTGAAACCCAATTTATTTACAGATTTAAATACTCTCTTTCAGGTCTCCAAGATCTCCAAGGTCTCCATATCTAAAATACATCTTAAATAAAAAACCAATTCTACTAAAGAAAATCCTGAGGAAATAATCGTATCATTTTTAAATTCCGAGATATTCCTCGATTATTCTCTTTATCATTCTTTATATATTAATTTTTTAAATCACAATAAATTATGTATAATTACCTAAACATCGGATTGTTCAATTCTCGATTCATGATCATGGCCTCGAACATGGGTCCCTCTCGAATGACAAATTCCACCATTCTATGTATCAACATTACTAAGTTCCTACAATGCATGAATGGAGTTTAAAAAAAAAAAAGAAAACATGATATTAGTGCTTCTGGTGTTGTTCGATGTACACGTTGGAAGTCTCCGACTTCACGCCCAAGTTTTGAAAGCCAAAACTCAGAATAATGTGTGAAGATTCTTTATACTCACAAATTGTCATGTACATTAATGGTAAAATCAATGAAATACCTTTCCGTTGGAATAACCACTTTGACAACAGCATTCTGCAATATCTGTCAAAGCCCATGCCATCACAGTGCAATCAGTGTGATTATTGTTGTCGTATTTCAAGGGGGGGAGTGTGTGCCAGAGCCCAATATTGCCAATAATGCGCCCCCGACAGAACGTACGCCAACAAGTCATTATAACATAATTTTTAAGCGTCAATTAGTTCAAGTTTTACCGAGATCATTGGTTTATGAAATATTGCATTTCGGGATTGACTCATTCATTCCCCGCCCGCATTACTCACCGGTTGATATATATATATTTTCATTAAAAAGTCATCACATTAATTATTGAATAATCAACTGAACGTTTGACAACAGATTACATCGGCAATGACACGATTGTGTCAACGCTCAGAAGATTTTCCAATTCTCCTTTCGTGGGAGAATAAAATTCACATAATTCTTTTTTTTTGTTTTGGTTCTTACAGTAGTGAATAATTTTACCTTTTCAAAGTTTTCCTTTTCCTGGGGGTCCGCGCTCTGGAGGTTGCGGATACGTGGTATCTGAGATTACGTTTCAAAAACATGGTTATACGGTTCAACAATAGATTGTTTTTTGATTATTTAAATCGAGTGTTCAATTTGATGATTAATTAATGCCAGTTGATACATGATTCGGTATTCTTCTAGTGAATAATCAATGATATTGTTCTTTGGCCTGTGATTTCACGATTTAATAGATAATATTTGATTGTTCTGATCGATTTATTTCTATTTAATTCACTAATTGTTCATCGGAGACTTCCTGCAACGCTTTGATATATTTTCCCTTCCTTGATTTGAGACGCGAGAAAATTCAGTCTTTCACTGGTTTTGTACTTGGAGGGGTGGGAGGGATACACGGTGGGAGGTCTTACGTTAATTAAATAAATAATGACACTAGTGAGGAGTTGATAAGTGTCGAGTAGGAATAAAACCAAATTCGATTAGAGACGTGATTGAGCATTTTATTAATAATACGCTCGTTTTTTGTCTGGGATACCTTGTGTCTATCGCGACGATGTGGTTGAGCGTTGAAGGGGAGACCAGAGGGTGGTGGTGGTTGGGTGAGCTCCATCAAGGCTGGGGGGATGTAGATTGGATATGGTGGTATTGGCACACTTTTACCCCAGCCCAGTTTCATTTCGTATTGCATTATATCTCTACCTGTTTAAAAAAAAAATAAATCTCCAGTTTTTCTCGTAAAAAAATCATGCTGTCGTCAAAAATCTTAAAGTCAAGGACAAAATACAAGTAATTACTCAAATATATCATAATTATCATTACTCCAATTATGGTATGAGATTAGTTTAATTATCATGAATTAATATTTGATGGAATGAAATTTTTGTCCTTCACTTTCGATTAATTGATATTTCATAAGACTGATATTGTCGAGTTTACCATTGAGACTCTTTAATGCTCTCTCTCCATCTTTTCTACTCATGAACGCTACGAATCCACAATTCCTCTGTCTAGCCTTCTCCTCGTCACTTCTTGGCCACATTATTTTGATACTAGCTAGAGGTCCGAATTTTCCAAATATCTCCATCAACTGTTGCTCTGTGATCTTTGGATTTAAATTTCCCAAGTACAAATTCGTAGTGTTGGGATCGCCATTATCAAAAGATCCATCTGAAAAAGGAGTAACAACCGTGTAAATTAGACCAGTCCTTTAATTCCTGAGGGGAATCTGATCCAATTGAAGGAATTTCTGGTACCTTCTACACATTTGAGTGCAGCCAACATGGGATCTTCAGACTGTGTCGTGATGACGTTTTTGACAACTCCCTTGTACTTATGCCTCTCTTCCCTTTCCTCCTGAATCATCTTGAGCTCCTCCTTGAACAGCTCCAAATTACTCTTCTTCTTCTCGCCCTCTTTCTTCTTCTTGCCAAGCCTGTCAGCCTTGCGTTCACTGCTGCCAAGAAGTTTGGCATATTCCTGTGCCTGTTCAGCCGACGATCTGCTGTCAACGAGCTCAGAGATCTTGGACTGGGGCTTGTAGAGTTTTCCCTTCTCCCTGGTGTCCTCCTGCCTCTTGCCAGCATCATAAGTACCAGCCTTGACCCAAACTTTACTCGTTGTCTTGTTAGGGGTTTCTTGAAAGGTAGCAACGAACTCCTCGAAGGCCTGAGCAGCTGCTTGCTCCTGCTCCTTCTTTCTCTGCTCCTCCACCTCTTTTTTACTGAGAGGTCGTTTCCCCATTGTACCGATGGAAAAAGCCTTGAGCTTCTGCTCAGCTATTTGCTGTGAATAATCCAAAATAAAACCCATGTTTAAATTCAAGTGCAAAATCAAGGGACGAGAGTAAGATTTACCTTCATTATCGCCTTCTCCGCCATTTCACTAGTTTTGTTTTTTGCACTTAACCTAAAATCTCGACATTTTCACAACAAGTAGTCTGGACACGCCAGAAAGCAAAAAGCGAGATGGATCTCTTCTACTGGGAAATCACTGCAGTGCAGTACAATTCTTCCACGAAATTAGAGATTTATAAAATAACTAATTGTAAAACTCCGGACAAAACAAATTGTTAATAATGAAAAATTCTTGCCAGGTGGGAGAGTACTCCGTTTGCTTCTACCAAAGAGGATTGACTAAAGTAGAGGCTCAGTTCTGGGGGTGTGAGTGACTCCAGCGGCATCGTAGTACTGCACCCCAAGAGAGGGAGGGCGCTACACGCAATGCTGGGGTGTTTTTTTTTTATTAATCAAGTTTTTATTGTAATGCTGGGGTGTTATCAAGTCAATGGGGTGAATTTTATTTTCTGCGGTATGAATGCTTTTTGTTTTTTAATTGTTTAACTGAAATTTTACCGACTGGAGAACGAGCGGAAGGGGGGAGCCACATCTTATGGAGTTTCAAATAAAAAAAATTATTCAATGTATTGAATATATACTACTAATGAAATTATAATTTCAAAATTGGCGCGTTGTCGAGTTGGCAGCGTGCTCGCCTGCCACGCGGGCGGCTAGGGTTCGATCCTAGCGGCATTCATTTTT